TGATAATATCGTATCGTGACCCAAGTATCGTGACATGTATCGAATCGCAACACTCATGCCAATACTCACCTCTACATTCCACACAGTAAACATCCTCTTTACCCCAAATGAGAGGCGGTTCTTAAACGACTCATCTGGTTAAATCGAATTTTGATTAAAGGCAAAAAAAAAAAATGAAGAAATAAAATTTTGGAGTATTTAAAATAGGGTTGCAACTAACGATTATTTTGCAAATTGACTATTCTGAAGATTACTTTTTTAATTAATCGATTAATAACCAGATTGCAAAAGGTTCCTTAAAGAAGAGTTTTTGCAAAATTAAACCAGTTGATTTTTTTTTTATCTTAAAGGCAAAATGTTTATATATTTTTGTTAACAATTACTGCTTTAATTGGGTCACTCTGTCAGCTAAAGACACGTTTTAGAGTCTCCACACTCCAGATAACGATTACTTAATTAGTTGATGATTATTTCAATAATATATTAATCACAATTAATCTGATTAATTGTTTCGACCTTATTTAAAACACACCTTTGTTTAAGATGTAATATACTAAAGTTGACCATGCCTAGTTGAAATGAAGTGTGTGTTAATGGAACCTTTTTAGAAAGATATTAAATGTGGCCAAACTGACATCAAAGCTTGCAATATTTCTCCCTCTCTAGAGTGGTTTGAGGAAAACATCCTGCCTGTTCACATTCTATCTGTGTAACGAGCTGCTGCATTCCCAGCCCATGACGACTACATCAGCTATTCAGCAGCTCCAAAATGCATTAATGAACGGAGCCTTGTGCCCTACAGCTGATTCACACATGCTCAGCCAGAGGCTTTTGTTACTTTTTTTACTAACTGACATGTTTTTCTCCTTGCTCACTTGGGTTTCCTCATCATCTCCGCTGCCCCTGTGACGTCCGTTGAACAGAAAGCACGGTGAGTGTCCAGGACTGCAGGGATTGTTGGGTTTCACTGTTTCATATTGCTGATTTGATAGCTGTTATAATCTGCTTTCAGTATTCGGAGCAATGGGAATTGAAGTATAAAAGCTGTGTGCTATCATGCTGGAGAGATTAGAAGGCTTGTAATTTCATCAGAATTGAAGAAGGACTTTGTCCTCCTTCTCTTAAAGGATTTGTTTGATCCCCTCTGCTGTCTCTCATGTTTAGCAGCTCACTTGTTCTTCCTTTTCCCTCTGTGATGAATATTCATGTTCTCTGTTTGACTGGACCTGCTGAAGTGTTTTATTCAAAGTCGCTTCAATGTCAGATGACTTGCGATGGGCCTGTGAGGTTCTGTTTCCGTAGGCCGTGCCGGCTGAATGGGCTCAGTCATCTCTGAAGAAATGGAGCTTCTGGCCCTGTTTTGTTTTCTGTGTTCTCGTCCCAGGTCATCTGATAGTAGAGTGGTGACTTTGGTTAATGAGTCACGCTAAGCATCTCTTTAAAGGTCAGCCATTATGCACACAGTGGCCCTTTGCCCAGACCTCTAGTCCATCAGCCATTGTTCCCCTCTCTTTTCTGTTGTCCGTGTTGTTGCTTTGGCTCTCTGATGGAGGGACATAGAAATTTAGGACAACTTGGCAGTTTGCAGGCCAATGGCAAGCTCCCTGCGGAAGCTTCTGGACTCCTGCCGAGTGTCTTCCCTTCTGTTGGCGTTTGGAGTGAGCCTTTTCAGCCCGTGTAGGCAGGTTCCACAGAAAAGCACCAGTCAGTCCCACGCTGCCATGCCCATTGGCAGGATATAGATTCTTCTTCTTTATCGGCGCTCAAAGCAGGAGCTGACACAGTGCCCAACGCCCAGGGCCCAATGCATATAGTTTCTCTCTGTTTCTCTCTCTCTCTCATGCTCAGGCCAAATGACTCTGGAGAAAAGGCCCTCTGTTCAGTCACGACACACTGCTCAAGCCCCTGTGAGGCTGTTTGTTGTCCAGTTATAAGGAGGAGGGGTGGGCAGGCTCGGGGAAACAAGCCGTACTCCGTTTAATTCAGACAACAGCCCGTTCTGTTGTTTGCGAGCTCGGTGGGTGTCAGGGTACTGTTTGACGCTGATGTTCAGCTGAATTTTAGGACGGCTGCTGTGATCATCATTGTTTGAATGAGGAGTGTTCAGGTTAGCTCAACATGCTCACTGTTTTTTGTTGTTGTTGTTTTTGGATTAAATAAATGAATGTTATTGGATTTTTAAAAAGAAAGATATATTGGAAGTAAAATAGATTTGTTCTTTTTGTCTTTCTGCAGAATAACTCGATATCTCCATCAGAAAGCTTGCGGACGGCAAGCGAGAAGCACCGCAGCTCTTCTGACTACAGCTTGGATTCCAAAAAACGCAAACTGGAGGAAAAGGACAGCATGAGCAGATATGTAGGTTAATAAAGACAACAGGATGGGGAGCAGGATTGGGTTTCTTTTGGTATTTTTAACATAAAGTTTTGGCCATTAAAGCCTCCTTGCAGAAGCTTTCATGCCTCTTTAACTTTAAGGGGAGTGGTGGCCTAGTGTTTAAGTCATAGCGATGGAATCCAGAGGTTCTGATTTCAAGCCCCACTCCCACAGACTGCCACTCTGTCCCTGAACGAATACCCGTAACCCCCCACTGCTCCCTAGGCGCCGCACAATGGCAGCCCACTGCTCCAAAAGGGGGATCGGTTAAATGCAGAGTTCATTTGGTTGCTCTGTACTTGTGACAATGTAATGAAAATAAAAGCTGCGAATTTTACGTTACAATCACAAGTTTCATGGATTTTACAGGGATTTAGATTACAGACTAATACAAAGTTATTATTTGGAAAAATGTGTATGTGAGTAAACACTCTAGAAACTTACATTTATTTTGTGCTCCATGTCTAGTTTAGTGGAACATCCCATGACTAAAACTTTTGCCCATTCCTCTTATAAAAGTGGCTCTAGGATGAAATAACTAAACTATTTTACTTTGAAGATGGTTTGTTTAGCAAGAATACATCTAAAAATATTCAAGATTACGATCCAGGTGTTCCTCCCTAAACCTGAATACAATCAGTGTATAACCACCTCAGCATGTCACTGAGGGAGCTGGATAACCTGTTCATTCAAATGAGGTATATATCTTTATCCAACAGTAAACATCAGAGGATGAAAGAAAACTGCAACAGACCTCATTAGTGGATTTCTTCTTCCCATTTCTTGAGGGCAGATTTTTAGTGTCGCTGTTGACAAATGATTGCAGATGAGTAGTGGATGTTTGCAGGTTCTTAACAGTTCCCATCAGCCTTTTGGCTGTTTCTCTTTTTTAAGTTCTGGCCTTTCACTTCAGCTATGCAGCCAATCTTGTTGGGTTTGCTGTTGTGTAAAACTCTCCCATTCCCCTTAGTTATTTGTCAGACATTTAAAGTTTAGCATAGTGTTTTGTATTTCAACCCAACCTTAAACATATCCAGACCTTCATTCCAGACCGGCCTGTTGGTTGTTACATGGTCATTAATGTACTAAAACAAACCTTAGGCCTCCAGAAAACAGACGCTAACTCTCTTTACTCAATGCTAACCTTTGATGGCAGGTGGTTGCAGTAAATTTATTTTAGGGGGTGTTTGAGTAAAAGGGGGTGATTAGAGTTGCAGACAACACTTTTCACTTTTTGTTTAAAAAAAACAATGTTTATGTGCTCTTTATGTTTGTTTATTACATGAATTACAAATAATATATTACTAAAGGTTTTTAACCTGACAAAAATATGAGAAACTCAAGTGTGAAAATGTCTCCTTGCTTATCCAGCTCTTAACAATTTGCAAACAATGTTTTCAAAGCTCTCCATGGGATCACAAACGTTTATCCAAAGTATATCTTCTAAGGTGTTGTTTTTTTTTTTCTAATCACCTGCAGGACAGCGACGGAGAAAAGAGTGATGATTTGGTGGTAGATGTGTCTAATGAGGTGAGGGGTCTATACTTATTATGATTAAGGCTATATTTCCTGAAGCTGTTGTATAACCATTAAAATCTGTTTGATTTATTTTGTTCTTAGGACCCAGCTACTCCACGGGCTAGCCCAGCCCATTCCCCACCTGAAAACGGCATTGATAAACCGCGCCCACCCAAGAAAGATACACCAAACAGCCCAGCATCTGTAGCCTCCTCTGGAAGCACCCCGTCCTCAAAGGCAAAGGAGCTCAGTCATGTAAGACAACGAGATATTTAAGGACAAACTAGGACAGAAAGGGTTTTTAAAAAAGGAATTGTAGGGATATGTGCAAATAGATGTGGAACATTTTCTGCTGTGGATTAGGAATGGCTGTCTGTGCTTTAAGTGCATGACTAAAATGTCAGGGATAATATTGTCCCGCATCAGGATCAGTCAGGTCTCCTCTGTTAATAGCTCAATGTATTTAACTATTCTGGGATTTTTGCCTCTGCCTCGCTGAAAGATTAAAGCTAAAGGGGATAGAAAAAGCCCCATCTCCATTGTGACCGTAATAGGTTTTAGAATAAATAGCAGTTTATGGCTGTGGGTTGTCAGAATTAGATTGGATTAGGTTCAGTTTGCTCTCAAATTGTCAGTCTGCACAGAGCCTGGTTTTTGGGATTGTGAACGTGCTTGCTCTCTTGTTCCCTTGACAGAATGACAAATCCTCCACGCCTGGTCTTAAATCCAATACCCCCACCCCGCGTAACGATGCCCCCACCCCTGGCACAAGCTCCACTCCTGGGCTCAGACCCATACTGGGCAAACCACCAGGCATGGAGGCTCTTGGTTGGTACCATTCTCTGAGTTTGCTGGAAGCTGCATTTTTTAATTATTATTATTTCTGTTATCATTATTATTATTATTATCTTAAAGTATGTGATTATCTTGCATACTGATATTCATCTCCTGTTTTTTATTTCTTTATTTTTTCTGTAGCAGCACCAGCTTTGCGGACCCCTTTGTCCATTGCTGGCTCCTATCCCCCCTTTGCCATGATGGGCCACCATGAAATGAATGGAGGCCTAACGAGTCCAGGTGTCTACGCTGGCCTGCACATCTCCCCTCAGATGAGCGCTGCAGCAGCTGCAGCGTATGGACGTTCGACTATGGTAACAATTCCACTTTTCTTTTTTTTTTCATGCTGCAAATCCCATTTTTCTATCCACATGTGACCCATTTCTGTTGGATTTTTCTTTTTTAATGTGTTATTAGTTTTTTGTTTTTCAAAAGTCTTAATTTTCAGACTGAGTTTTTCAATTTGCAAGCTCGATATGCATGTGATACCTTCAGGCTGACTGGTCTTCATACTTTTATGTCATGGATATAAAAACCACAACGCTGAATTTTAAAAATGTATTTTTTTTTATGCTATTAAGCATGTCTGCAGTATAGTTGGCAAGAGAACACAATACTTTTGATAGAGAAAAGGAAGGCTTAGCAGACTCCAATTAATTAATTGAAGAATTCAACCTTTCTGTTATAAGACATGTCTGATCTGAATATATTGCAAACATTTTAGAACATCAGAACTACATTCTCTAGAAATACACATGCAGAGTACTGTTAATCATGCTAACTGTATAACTAATATAAACGCTAAAGATAAATGCAAACATTACAGTTATTTCATCAGTAATTAAACATTGAATTTTTTGGTTTAAATAAGGCTCTAAGAAAATCTATTTTCAGTGATTTTCTTGTGTTGTCTTATACTATTTTTCTAAGAGACATTGGTAGAGCTGCAAATAATGATTATATTGCTAATCGATTAATCTGTCGATAATTTTTTTAAATTAATAATCAGATGGCAAAGGATTCTTAAAGGAGATTTTTTTGCTGAATCAAACCAGGTGAAACAAATTTTCCACTTAAGGAGTTCTTGGTAGATCATATTAACAGAACAAAATTCAAAATAAGTATTTTTTTTGCAGGTTTTGTATAATTACTCCTCTAATCGATTAATCACGATTAATCCAATTATTTTTACATCACTAGACATTTATACAGGCAAAATCAAACCTTTCCAACAACCCCAGATTGAAAATTTAGTGAAACATTTGATTAATGCGGTTCTCCCTGTAGCCTTAGAGCAGAGTTTCCTTTGATCACTGATCTGTAACCTCATACATCTATATCCTCTCATCTTTTAGGGGTTTGATCCTCACACTCATATGAGAGCCCCAGGCCTTCCAGCCAGCCTCACGTCTATTTCTGGGGGGAAACCGTAAGTGTCTCTCCAAAGGTGTAGGTGTCACACTTCAAAATCCAACAACTTTAAACCTGCATCATCTTTCTTTCTGTAGTGCATACTCCTTCCACGTAAGCGCAGATGGCCAGATGCAACCTGTACCCTTCCCGCCTGATGCCCTGATTGGACCGGGTATTCCACGTCACGCACGTCAGATCAACACGCTTAGCCACGGCGAAGTGGTGTGTGCTGTCACCATTAGCAACCCCACACGTCATGTTTACACCGGCGGTAAGGGCTGCGTCAAAATCTGGGACATCAGCCAGCCAGGCAGCAAAAGCCCCGTTTCCCAACTGGACTGTCTGGTAAGAACCCTATACTGAATCACTTTACACTCCTTAGTGACAATTTTTAATAAGCTGCAATGGCATAATCTTCTCCATTATTTCCATACCAGAAATTTGTATTCATCAAAACATAGTAAAGGAATACTTAAATAAGAGTTTTGTGCTTTCATGTGTAATTCCAAAAATTTCAGACATAAGATCCAACAAATGATCCAAATTTGTTTGATTTGATTTAAATCCACTACTAGATGACCCTCTGATTGGTTAGGAGTCTGTTTTTGAAGAAGTCACCTTCTCCCTGTTATTTATCTCCCTGGTATAACTATACTATTCAGATGATTTTTAACAGCAGAACAACATTTTTTGCAAAGAAGATGGAAATAGCTAAATATTCTGAAGATTTCTGTCTGTAAAATGTCATTTTAATTGTGGTTGTGATCAGCTAAAGGAACCCCCTTTGGTTGTTTTCTTCTGTGGATTTTCCTCCAGATTTGTTTCTAATTCTCTGCACTGTATTGATCGGCTTTTGTCCTCTGTGCCACAGAACAGGGATAACTACATCCGATCCTGTAAGCTCCTGCCTGATGGCCGCACATTGATTGTTGGAGGCGAGGCCAGCACTTTGACCATCTGGGACCTGGCCTCTCAGACGCCTCGCATCAAGGCCGAGCTCACCTCATCGGCCCCGGCGTGCTACGCCTTGGCCATCAGCCCTGACGCCAAGGTCTGCTTCTCCTGTTGCAGTGATGGAAACATCGCCGTTTGGGACCTGCACAACCAGACCCTTGTTAGGTAGGGGGAAAAATATATGTATTCCCAGTGTGCGGATTTTGGCTCTGTAACAGAGCTGCTCTTGTGTGAGCCACTTTTAAAGAGGATGTCAATACATGTTTGTGTGCTTTCTTACTCTAAATGCAGGCAGTTCCAGGGTCATACAGATGGTGCTAGCTGCATTGACATTTCCCATGATGGCACTAAACTGTGGACAGGCGGCCTCGATAACACTGTTCGCTCTTGGGATCTTAGAGAGGGTCGACAGCTGCAGCAGCACGACTTCACTTCACAGGTACAATCATTAAATACCACACATGTAACCCATAAATATATTGCTTTATATAGTGTCTGAACTATTAATAATCACTGTTCCATCCCCAGATCTTCTCCTTGGGCTACTGTCCGACCGGAGAGTGGCTTGCTGTTGGGATGGAGAGCAGCAACGTGGAGGTGCTTCACCATTCAAAGCCTGACAAATATCAGCTCCACCTACATGAAAGCTGCGTCCTCTCACTCAAGTTCGCCTACTGTGGTACGAGCAAACCTACTTAAAAGGAACAGGGAATAATACAATACTATTTACCCTCCATACTCTTTTAAAGATAGAACTTTAAGCTCTAATGTTCTTTAATGTGTTTTTGGGAGGGGGTGAACTAACACATAAAGAGGAATTAAAGCGAGATAATTTATTTTCTTTAACCTGGAAACCACTTTACTAAGATAACTTTTCATAAGTCCTCTGCATGAATGAATTGTTTCAGCTTGAAATGAACCTTTTATTTAGCAGTTATTTATATGGATGGATATGAATATTGGGCAGACATAGAATTAGATCTGTAGGATGTAGTAGGAGACTAGTCCGGGGGTTAACTGTATACACAGAGCCAGAGCTACAGTGGAGGGATTAACATCGGGGATGTTCTTTTGAGATACACAAATGGTTGTTGCAAGATTTTTAATGAGAAAATCTTTTAAATCTTCAAAAAAATCCAACCCAAAACGAGATCTTTTTTAATGCATTTTTCTTTTTTGCTTTAATTGGGACTATAAAATGTTCTAGACTTAGAAAATGGTCGGCCCAAAACGGTAAAAAGTGAAACATCTTGATTTTACTAAGGCTAAACTGTGATCAAAAACTTCTGGGATTAGAATTATTGATTATTCTTTTTTTTCTGAAAATATCACACTGCTTTGTTTATATCTTTTTAGAAGGGGAATGTTCAGTGTTTTTAGTTTTGTAGATTAAAAGTACAGGAAAAAAAATGGACTCAACAAGTCCAAAATCATGGCCACCATTTGTTTGGATCAAAGCATATGTGAAAGAAACTTAAATCCAAGTTGTAATTATGAATCCATTATTAAATACTGTAATTTTTAAAATGTGTTTTCGCATCCTCTAAGTGGATATAAAAAAAAAAATAAAAAATTTAAGATGCATTTTGCCAATTTTGCCTTGGAATGACCATTTGGTTCATGAGCAGGTTGAAAACCAAGCTAAATCTCTAGCAGTTGCTCCGCAGATTTAACCAGCTCTCTCATTGGTTAGACAGCCACATTTGGATAACAAAATGACCTGATCACTTTCTATCCAGAATTTCAGTGGAAACCACAAATCGGGCAAAGCAAGAGTTAACCAGTTAGGTTAGGTTTAACTTTGTTTTCATTGTGCTCAGGGACCAGAACGGAAAAGGGGAACCGTGACTCAGTGAATCTACTGGTCCTCCATAGTTTGCAGAATGAGGATAGGCAATATTTTCAGATGTGCAATGCGGGTAGAAAGCTTTGCACATCTGAACAGCCGCGACCAAAGAAAAGGAAACTAATGAACAGTTTCAGGTTGATTAAACACAAATATTTGTGTCACTTAAAAATTTCATTTGTAAAAAATAAACGTGGATATCATTAAACCACTTTCTTTTGGTCTATCATAAGAAATGCCAGTTAAATACATCATAGTTTGTGGGGGCAATTTAAAACATTTTAGGGTGCAGATACTTTTTTCTTGACCTGCATTTGCTTTAAGAGCTAAAAGTTGGGTTTTTTGGGTTGGGGTGGTTGGTTTTTGTCTCAGGCTTGGAAATGTAACGAGTTTTGCTATGAAGGTATTTCCCTGCATCTCATTGGTTCAAAAAAGGCCTGATGTCACTTCCGTTTTCTTTGCAGGTAAATGGTTTGTAAGCACTGGGAAGGACAATCTGTTGAATGCTTGGAGGACTCCTTATGGCGCCAGCATATTCCAGGTATGCGGATCAATACACTTTGTCTGTAGCCAGAGCCAAAAGAACACACTGCCTTCTCCTTGCGGAAGGACACACCGACCGCTGCCTAACCAGGCCACCCTATCAGTGAAAAGTGAAACTGAATAATTGACCTTACAAAGGAGTCTTTTTGAAGGCCAAACCTTGTTGTCACTGCAGGCTAATCTTTCTGCCCCCGCAGTCATTTAATCCTCCCCACTTAACTTTGAATGGGCCACTGTATATTAATGCAGTTTTATCTTCTTCTCTTTAACAGTCCAAGGAATCCTCTTCGGTCCTGAGCTGTGACATCTCAACGGATGACAAGTACATCGTGACTGGCTCTGGTGACAAGAAGGCCACAGTGTATGAAGTGATCTATTAGCAGTGCTTTGGATGGGAGCATGCACATGCTTAGGAACAGCACGCTCTTCCTCCGCCTATCTTCTCCCTAACGGACAACATGAATTCCGCTATGCGGGACAGGAAGTTTGGCAGTGCCAGACTAATATGGATGCCGGCGCTGCTTTGGACCTGGATTTTTATGTCTGATTAAAACACTTGTACAGCAACAAAGTTTCTGCAAAGGCACTAAGAGAAAGGAAATAAGACGAAAAATGTCGATTTCTTTTTTTTTTTTTTCTCTCCTTCGTTGGATTTTTCTTTTTTTTTTAACCTTTTTGACTATGGATAAAGTTCCATGAAAGCTAGAAGCGGCGCTTCTCTCCGGAGCTTTTCCTCGGAGGTCCTGTGAAAAGTGTACATAATGGAGTAATAAATGGCCTTTTATAGATTTATATTTTGGTGTCCAATTTCGCTTGTGATGGTTCTTTCTTGTTCTCTGTGATTTTCTGTCCCCTTTGGGGATGGAAATTAGATTAGGACTTTGTAAGAGGATATTCTGTTTCCTTCCCCTCCTCCCCCCCCGTAGCATTTTTTTTCCCCCATGTTCTTTGTCAAGAGCAACCTTTTTCGGAAATCTAATTTGGACGGGTTTTTTTCGGACAACAGCTCCTTTTTTTTCCTTCTCCTATTTGGTACAAAACAGATGCTCCAAGGAGTATAGCCACACAGAACTCCAGAAAACGTCCCGCTGACCCCCACCGGCCCTGACTGGAGGAAGGAGAAATTCATTGTTTTCAGTTTCATTAGCCCACTGGCTTTGGTCAGCAGAAACTCAACTCTGAAATGAAGATCTGTCACTTAACACTGGCTGCTTTCAGTAACACCAAAATGGATAACTAACAACCGGAAGACTGATGGATTTCCTAAAAGCCAGCCGTGACTTGAGCTCCGTCTGTTGACTCAACCATTGTATGAAAAATTCATTGCACCGCTCTGCAAAGTCATCAGTCTGTGCAAGTTAATTATTGCCTTTCTTGTTTTGACGGCCTGTGACTGATATGCAAGGCTTGCTTGGTTACACATTTAGATGGCGAGCAAAGCCACGCCCACTTTTTACATCCTGGGTATACAGTTTGCTTTCTTTAACATTGACAATACTCTGCCTGGGAAAACTCTTACAGGAATGGTCTCTGCATAAACTGTGTCGCATACACGTGTCACCCATAAGGACTGTACAGTAGGCAGTTGTTGATAAGTCAATAAACTGTATTTATATAAAATATAATCTTGACTCAATTTCTGAAGAGACGTTTTCTTGCTGGTTATAATAGTGTTTAGAGAATAGCTGAAGGTTTTATCTTCAAGATAGTTAAAGCAGAACAATACCACAAAATTAGCAATAAAAGGGCAAATCCAACTCTGTTTTCGTGACAAAATCTGCATTCCAGCTCCCTTAAAATAGTATAGTATTGATGTTTATAGCTAATTCTAATTTATTTTGTTATTTGGGTTTTGAATGCCAACAAGGCTCCTGTATTACTGTGTCGGATATTGTTTAATGGACAAAAAGGTCAGTTTACTCTTGGACTAAAACTAACAAGCCTATTATTTCAATACTGTATGTGAGTTTTTAGTTGAGCCTTTGGGCGTCATTTGTTCCAAGGGAATGAAGCTAAACTTATGCTGACTTTTGATGTCTGCCCATCAATCTTTGCGACAAATTCAATTAACTCAATCTGAAGGGGCAGCTCGTTTATTTCTTATATATGAAACACAGGGTATAAATATACACAACTCTTGATATCGCATGTTAAGATGTGTTTTTCTAAATGGGACTATATCATTCAAAACACCATCATATCATCCACATTTACAATTTCAAATAAAACATATATCTATTGGGTGATGAAAAATCAGTGAAGGCAAACTGTTAAAAATATTTATGTTTTTGTTTTTATACTTTAAACGCAATTTGATTTGATTTTTAACATAATTTTCTTTTATAGGAGTCTTATCAGCATCACTATTTCCTCACTTTAATTTTCAGAGGTTCTTCAGATCTATCAAACTGTATTCGGCTCAATCTGAATACAACAGATTAGTAAGGATTCTTAAGCCAAAGCAGACATGCATTAACGGTCACCATGATAGGTGCTGTCAGAAAAGGAACCCCGTCATTTGTGTCTGGTGCTTAGATGTTGTAAGAAATCCCAAAATCCTTTGCTTGATATGATGCATAAGACACCTGTCAAAAATGTCTAAAAATATATTATTGCTTCAGGTGTACTGTGTGTGAAAATCTGCGCTCCTTCATAGGTTTAGAGAGGGAACTTCAGCTGTTCACTACAACTGTGTAACTTACTTTTGCAGGAAGGCTGTAGTCCCAGTGTCACAAGCATCACACATGTGCATTTTAATCACATGTGGTAGTTCTAGACCAAATTTACCAGGGGGCCATGTGGGGTCTAGTGTATTTATATGGGTGCACCATATAAAAAATGAAAACGTTCCTGGACATATTACAAGAACCAAAGAGCCATTTGCAGCTCTGGCAGGGTAAACAACAGAAGGCTTGGGCAGAATTCAATCCCAGGACTCCCAGGTGAAAGCCATGCATGCTAACCAGGCCACCTTAGGAATATTCTCTTGGCTAAGTAGCCAAGATGCATCATCACTCAGAGAGCCAGGACCCCACACTGTCACACTTAGGTGTAGCTGATGAAAACTCAGATCCTATCAGGCTGAAGCTAAAAGTGCAACAACTTTACTTTTAAATCATCAATATAATAAAGCTGTAAAAACTCTAAACTGGTTGTAGAGACTATTAAGTTGCGGTTTCTGTTCCAGTACGTATAATGTCTTTGGTACAGGGCCCATATTAGGGGTCATGACCAGTTCTACTGTGACACTGGCCCCTGTTAGCCCCTGTCTAGAACTGCCCACGCATCTTATAATGACATCTGTAAGGGTTAAGGCTGTCAATACAGCGGGCACAGCCTTCTGTTCCTACCCACAATGCTCTTGCTGTTGACCCTGTGAAATATGAAGGAACAAGGACTAGGAAATATTAGATATTATATTAATATATATTAAGATATTATATTAATATTAGATGTCATTGCTTTTAGCTTAGATTCCACATCGGAATTTTTCTTGAATTACTTCCAGACTCTGGCTTCTAGAGTTTGAATTCAGCCACTCTTGAATTGGATGGATGCAGGAACTCATACTAATTGAGGAAAATAAAATTCCTTCTCATCTTTAGGTTTCTTAATAACTCTTAGAGGCTTTAAAAGTGTCCTTGTTATATTTTTACTTCATATCAAGTAAAGTAAAATCAAAGCATTATGCTGCCACTACCATGTTTCATGTCTTTTTGTTGACATAGTTATTCTTTTTAAATAATTAGATCATAATACATTCTTCCAGAAGGTCGGTGGTGTCTTCAATTAGGCTTCAAAGTTTTTATTAAAGAAGGATTTCTGTTTTGCAACCTTATCTTTTATAGAATTTAGTAGATTGTTGTCATTGAGTGCATGCAGGAAATGCAAACCGCTTTACTAAGTTTTGCATACAACCTCCCTCCTTTTTTAAATTTTTTTATGTCACCATCATATGACTAAATTGTATTTAACACTCACTGGTTTTAAACTTATATCGGATTCTGTTTTTTTGTCCTTACTGATGTCTTTACGATGAAATATTTTGTGAGTTAAACTAAATGATGCAACTCTCGAGTCAAAGCTACTAAGAAAAGCTATTTCAGGTTACTTAGAGTTGCTGTAATTGATGACGTGTGTAAACTTAAGACTTAATGCTAAAATTAAATCAAGAGGCGCTTAAAGCATTAGATTAAGGGTATGTGAACGCTTATGTTGTTTACTTTTGCTTAAGATGCACTGGCTTTTATCCTATAAGCAGCAAATAACTTTAAAACTAAATCAGTTGCAAAGTGATTAAAGTTAACAATATGATTTATTTAAAAATGCAGACAGATGGTTGCAGTGTTTCCAGATGCTTAAAGAATAATTTCTATCATGAGTTCTTATCAGTCAAACCCATTCTAATTAGATTTTTTATCCAGCACACGGTCCTTAAAGGTATACTATAGTTCCAAATTAAGATATGAAACATTTTAATAAAATTTTTAATGTGGCAAAGTCTTGAAATGCATTTCGTTATTTTCCTGTTAAGATGCGTAGAATATCCTCCACATTAAAGATTAGTAACATTTAGATTTTTCATTTCTACATCACCAATGCTTGGGAACAAACAGGATCTGTACAGTTTTGATCCGCATCTATAAGGTATTGTGAAAGTGTCTTGTCCTTATGTCTGCCGAGTGGAAACCAAAACACTTGTCCTTAAATCCCTGCTTGGGTTCATCTTGTTACGCTCGCAGGGATTCTCCCATACAGGACGACAGTCTGCATTTACAGTACAGGCAGGCTCTCCTTGACAGTAAATGGAAGTGCATCAGCAAATGGCTCTAAATGCATCCAGGGCTGACATCCATCTCAGGAGAACTGCAGACATAAGCGGAAGACACTCTGGGTGCTGTTAGAGAGGCTGCGGTGGACCTCCTGGCTTAACTGTAACTCAGAAAATGACTGAGCTCACATTAATATTTGAAGGATGAACTCTGTGCCACTTTCAAAGTCACAGTGCGCCCTGAGTGTGGTCACTGTCTGCTCCAATCATGTTAGGGTTTCATGGTTCCACTATGACATCACATGGCCGTCTCAGTGCAACACAAAGGGAGAGGAGTTTTATTCAGAGGCACTTCAGGAAAAAGATGACGTAAACACAGCTCTTGAGCTCTGCTGAGTGGCCTTTTGGTCACTGAATACTTTTGGGCATGATAAGTTGAATGGCCCAGTCCATCCACTCCAGAGCAACACTCTTCCCAGACCATGTGCTTGAAGCAGTGAGCTCTTCATAAGGCCGTCTCTCCAGAGATGTTGTTGTTGGATTACAAAAGCGGGCCGGATGCTTTCAGCATGGAGCCGGCCGCTGTGCTACGCTCTCACGGGCTCATTTCTTACAAGCTGTAGTCTTTTTTTTTTCCCCCATGAAGTGTGTAGTTCCTGTGTGCGCCCTGCTCAAGTACGATTTTCTTCCTCTCTAAATCAAACAGTGGAATATCTGCAGATGAAAGGCTGCACCTCTCAGAGCCTAATCGTGGACATGGAGGAGGTCATTGTCTCGCCTTCCGCTGATCTACGTTTCAATAGGCGGCTTTCAGTGGGTTCTCATGCAAAAGCCCGTGCTGCTCTTGACTATTTAAAGAAGGGCAACGGTGCAGACTGAGAGACTCGAGTGGCCTAAGTGCTTTACAGAAGTTCAAAACACAAGAGCTCAGTCCAATTCCAGGGTCTGCTTGGACTGTTTGAACAAAATCTTAATAGAATGCAAGAAACCAAGTGGTGATCAATAATGGAAAGGATTTTTTTGGGTGGTTTACCAAGCAGCATTGATCACAGTTAGTTGTGACCTGGTTGCTTGTATAAGGTTTGCTGGGGTTTTAAAAAATCTATATGAGAAAAGCCACCAACATATTTTTTATTATACCCAAGAGTTTTAAGGTCCTTTATTGAGATACGTGGACAAATACAGGGGTGAGTAGAGGTTTCTCTGGCCTTAGGGTGCATTGAGTAATACAGTGCTTCCTCTCCCCCACCTGTTGCTGCATACTTTTGGTTATCTGGCTGAAATAAGGCTTGTACATGTTTCTACATTAACAAAAAGAAGGTTTTGCAGTGTGGATATTTTACTCTTTGTGGTTAAGTCTCCACCAGTTCTTGTCTTGTTGGGTAATAATTGTCGTTTTATCCTTCTTTCTTTTATTTAGTAAACGGCCACAAACCTCTTTATACTCTTTATACCCATGCACTGAAATTATTGCATAATAGTTTTAGAGTTTGTGCTATTGTGTATTTTACTACAGTTGAGAGAATATGGCGCACAACATCCTGGGATCAAATGTATAACTAAATATTTTGTTATATAATTTTATCTGTAAAAAATGAAATCCTATATTAATGATTAAGGTTTTCAAAGCTACTGTATATATGAGCATCTTTATTCACAAAATAACTGATTATGGGCTCCAGCAGAATAGCTTTACTGTCTATTTAATATTGTCTTCATTTCCTGATGGTAGGTAATGAGTACAGCATAAATAATTACTTTCAATATTTGGTTGCCAAACACTTGTAACAAAACCTGCCATCTGCAGGGTGGAACTGATTTGTGGGGACATTATCTTGGACCTAAATGATCAGATAAAGAATAAAATACAGTAGGAAACAACAAGGGTGTAATGACCAGCTCCGTTATTAAAGCATGTGATTTATCTTACTTATTTCTTAATTA